GTGGTGTGTGTTGCAGTGTGCTGTCAGCACTGGCACTGGGAAATAAATTATTTTCTGGAACATTTTCTTGACAGGCTGGGGAGAAAGATGTCTCATTCGGGCAACGTGCCCCCTTTCCCGGGCCCGTCTCGGGCTGCAGCTAAGGCTGAAGGCCACAGCTGGCATCGGCTGCTCTGCAATTGCTCTGGCTCAGGTAGCGCTGCTTAAAAAATAAAAAATAATTTGAAAGAATATTAAAAGAGAGGGAAGAGTAAGTCTGGATGCTATTCCTAAACGTGGTGAAGAGTATCTGAAAATACCTGTAGGTCTAAACTACATATGATGTAATTTAATGTGCAAACTCATTTTGTCTGTCACTGAAATCACCACGAAAGTGAAATATGGCAACCACTGAAAAAGGCACAACTAGTTTATACAGCTTCTGAGCACAGTAGTTAAAATATATTTACTGGGAGAAGGATGTGTCAGTTTGGTTTGCATATGTTCTCCCATGCAAGTTGCCTTGATTTGAGTTTTTAGGTGAGTTTTAAGTGAGTTTCTAAGCTGGACACACGAAACAGTATTTCCCAGCAGCTGTTGCTCATTTAGCACCACTGCGATGCTATCTCCGAAGGGAGACGGGTGTAGCGGGTGAGTAGTAACTGGCGAGGATTCGTGTGAAACGTACAAGACTCTGGAAGCAAAAGCCAACCCTGGGAGCTCTGGAAATCTCTTGAAAACTCTGGGCGTCTCCAGCCGGGGCCTGGAGGGGGGAGCCGTATGCGTACACTTGGTGCTGCATTTTAAATGGCTTTTGCACACTTCTAAACCTTCTTTTGCAAACACAGCTTTATAAAAACAAGGCGTTGACAGCTTTATCCAGCCAGAGGCTTCTTAAATGTGTATATCCAAGCCTAGGATGGCCTGGGCGAAGCCTGGGAAGCAGAGGCCGTGCTTCAGGCAGGTGCTTAAGCACGTGGGGCGCTGAGGACGCGCCTGGGCTTCAGTCGGATGGCGCCCGAGCGCGCGGCGACGGCGCTAGGCCGCGGTGATGGCGGCCCCGCTGGGCGCCATGGAGGCYGCAATGGCGGCCCCACTCAGTGCGATGGAGGCCGCAGCCACCCCGCTGAGTGCTATGGAGGCCGTGGTGGCGGCCGCCTTCGGCCTCTGCCTGTCCATGTCTGCAGCTGCGCTGAAATGGCAGCGGCGGCGCCTCCCCTGACGCCGCTCAACGAAACGGCCTCTCGCGACGCTCTGCTGCAGGCTGGTCAGCRGTTTAAGCGTCTCTGCAGGTGCTCCTTTCGTAGACGTTTCTTTAAACGCTCCCCTGTAGGGTGCCTTGTGCCAAGGGCTACCCCAGGAAATGCTGCCCGTAGCTGCAGTGTTTTTTTGACAGAGCACCCGGTGCAATTTTATGGCATGTGTGCCCCTAGGGGAACCAGCATAGGGCCACAGAAACTGACTGGATGCGGTGGAAGGAAATGGAAAAAAAACCCAACAACTAAACTGCAGCATTTGCATTTTGGCCGGTGCTTTTGACTTGTTTGAGATGTTACAGAGATACCATGTTGTAAAAAATAGTATTCGACTTCTCCTTTCAGTTCAAGTTCCTCCAATTATTTGTGAAACACTGAGGCTTGGTCCTGACTAATGATTTCACCATACTTGGTAAAATTTAGGTTTTATTGCGGGAGTTGAGGCACTCACTGGCTGCCACTTTTCTCCCTCAGATTCTTTTTTGAATGGGCACTTTAATACGGAATCTTCAAATATTTAGAAAAGGTGAATAGCTGGCTAACTAGGTAAATATAATGTGAGAATCTGTAACTTATTTAACATGTGAAGTACTCAAAATGTTTTCTGTAGGCAGTTTGCATGAGCTTCTTGTGGTGGCATCTTCCTCTCCCCTTTWCTCAGATGTAGGCCTGACAGCAAGAACAGAAGGATTTGATCTTTCCCTAGGCATTTRATCACTTACGTGCATACATAGTACCTGAAAACAGGACAGCTACGTGTTTTTGAAACATGTATGTTTTGCTTCTGAGACTTGAAGCACACTCCAGTAGATGAATCAAAGCAGAGGCAGAGCCACTGTAGCAATTGCAAGGGAGGTAAGAGATGGAGCAAGGAGARAACACCTCATGTTTCTCTTCTAGATTTCCATTTTTGTCCGAGCAGTAAGACGGGATGGGTTCCCGCCAGGGCTCCTGCGCGCTGTGGGAATGGCAGCAGTTACGCAGAGCAACCTGCAAGCTCCGCGCTGTTTATGTCCCCTCTGTCTTTCTGCTGGGTATTTTCAGGTTGGGTTCCTCCGAGTGGGCTCGTTCCCATTTCCGCACATCAGGATCAACGTGTGGGTGCCCTGAAGGTGGTGGAGCAGCCTGCAGTGCCCAGGGAAGGCCCTGGCACCTCCTGTGTCCACACACACCGTGTTTCCCTTGGGAAACGCAGACAAAACTCCCCTTCATAAAGGCCAGCGCAGCGCTGGAGGGAACAGTTGGGAGTAACACAAAACGCACCCGAGTGGTGGGTCCTTTACACAACATCACAGAATGGCTGAGGTTAGAAGGGACCTCTAGGGATCATCTTGTCCAAACCCCTGCAGCAGCAGGGACACCCAGAGCACGGGGCACAGGGTGGCATCCAGGTGGGTTTGGAAGATCTCCAGAGAAGGAGACTCCACAACCTCCCTGGGCAACCTGTGCYAGGGCTCTGTCACCTTCACAGGAAAGAAGTTCTTCYTCACATAGAGATGGAAATTGCTGTGAAGCTGTGAAAGGTGCGGGCCGCCTCTGGCCSATGTGCTCAGGTGCAGGGCAGCCYRCTTTGGACTCTGCATTGGCGGCTGCTGGAAATCTGGGGCTTGCAGTCGTGCAAAGGTGACTGGGTGCAACCAGGTCACTTTTAAAATTGCTCATGGAATCACCGTCTCCATGTGAGTGAGCAGCATTTTTTAACTATGGAAATAATTTCAAATTGTGAAAAGCATAGCAGTCTCTAAGCTCTGTATGAGCTTACCCCACACGGCTACTCTTTCCATAATCACGTCCTGCCGTCCACCTCCAGGTTGAGGACTGAGTCTCTTGAGCAAAGTTCATTATGTGCCAAGGGAGAGAGCGCTTTTGCAGAGACAGGAAATGCTCGCTTAGCACAATCAAGAGATATCAGTATTTTTTTTCATTTCATGCCTTAAGAGCAGGCTTAATGCTGACGCTTCAGTACACTAGCTCTTAAATATTGCGGTTTGAATGGGCTCTGTGTTTAGGTGTTCTGTAATGCAGTTGCAATTGCCTACTTCCTATCCGCAGAAGCCCTGGTTACCAAACGTGCCTGCGTGGTAGAGTTACTGCAGCACTGCAGGGTGTCTAACTAGGCTAGCAGAAATGCTGAAGATGTGGAAAATGTAGCGGTGGTGGCATATTTTATCTAATAAGAGAGGTAACTATTTAGTAAGCACAGGAGAATTCCCCTGCATGCTAGCGTATTGAGACATGTTTCTTGAGCATCCCTTGAGAGAGGGAGAGAAGTTAAAATGTTGAAAATAGAAGGCATCAAAATGGAGGGCTTATAAACCAAAAGCAGAAAGTTGCAAGGCTGAAAACAGGAATGCAAATAGGACCTTAGAAGGCTGAAAATGTGAATGTAAATAGGGACCTAACCTTACAAATAAAGTAGAAACCCTATATAGAAGTACTGCTATAGAAAAAGGTGAGGGAATGCATACAGCATCCATCTGTAATCATCTTACAATGGTTGGCAAAATATTAGGGGCTAGGAGAAATTTATCTTACTTTGTGTATGTGTTTGTATGTACATATGTGTATATTATATTTGCCTAGCAGTATATGCTTTAGGATAACATAACCTCATACAAAATAGTTATTTGTTATATAAAGCACTCTGAAAGCATTGTCGAGGGCTGAAGTCTTGGACCCTTAGCATGTTAATCACTATTCTGAATTTCTTGTTCACGTGTAAAGCTTTGTCTTCCAGACATCAAAGAGGCAGAGAGGAACCTCATGGAATTCAACACAAGGAAGTACGAAGTCCAGGGCAAAAATAAGCCCGTGCCCTAGTACAGACAAGGGGCTGACTGCCTGCTCAGCAGCTGTGCAGAGAAGGGCCTGGGGTCCTTGTGGATGAGTTGTGCATGAGCCAGGAAYGTGTCGTGGCAAAGGAGGCCAGTGGTGCCCTGGGCTGCACTAGGCCTGCAGGTCAGGGGAGGTGAACCTTCCCTCAGCCCTGGGAGGCCCCCTGGAGAACTGGCCCCCGAAACATGAATCTACCCTCTCCTTCGCCCCATAAAAGTAAGCGTGTCCTAATTTTGAAAAGCTGGATATGCAGCAGCTCTGTAGTTATAGGGAGTTGTAGATGTCCGTGCCCCTACAGAGAAGCAGCAGTATAAGGGGAAGACTTCATTCACCTTTCTGTTATATGGCCCGTGGGAATTTTTAACCTGGCGGGATATCTGAAAGCATCTAAGTTGCGCTACAATTGAGATTTTAAGCAGATAATCAACAGCACTGATAAACAAAGGTTTTTAACTTCAGAAGACTGATGGTGGGGATGCGTATGTGGTGTCAGCATACAGTGCTCTGTTTCCTGTTCCAGTAAAAAAAAAAAGGAAAGCAGCTATATAAAATGCTAATAATCTCACTGTGGTTTCACATAGACTAGACTTGAGAGCCTTGAGTATTTTTCCTTTTCCCTTTTAACTGCAATTTTGTTATTGTATTGCTGCCCCCATCTCTGCTAAATATGGCTTTTGAAATGTAAATCATATCATGTTCTCAGAGATGCATATGACACCCTCAGCACTGCTCCTCTTTGCACTTCAAAGAGCCGTGTGGTCACACTTTGCATCTCAGCAAAATCGCAATATTTGCCTTCTGAAGATCTCCTTTAATGTGTACAATCAATCCCTGATAATGTGTTTTGGGTTTTTGTTCCCTGGAGTCTGTTAATTTTAATGTTGCTACAGGTCATCAGGAAACATAATCTCTTCTTTTTTAATTTCTCAGTGAACGTGCCTGAGGGGAGACTAACGCGAGAGAGGAGACACAATTGAACATCGCTGTTGGCTGAGACCTGAAAAAATGGTGCTGGATGAACACAGAATTAGAACTTCATTGTGAAAGGGAAATACTGTCTTGGCAGGCTCTTTTCTTCATTTCCACATTCATCATGGCCCAAATTCTCTGGCTGGCCGGTTGATGGGACTGTCCAACACGTGCTACCTGCTTTTGGTGCAGATCCCTCGTGTCTACTGCTCAAAAGACCTGGGATCAGGTGGGAATCTGAGGATGTCAACTATGGGAATGGAAAGAGAAATGGACTCTGACAAGCTAAGATGGAAGTGACTTGGCAGCTTCAAGTTCGGCAGTTGTCTCCAGTAAGGACAGGTTAAGATTGGAATCACAAGCTTCCCTGGGAGAGCAGTATGCAGGAAGCTGGTTTTCAGGCCACAAATGCTTTCACAGGTAAGGACTTCTGTTGTTCCAATTCAGCTAATGATTTTGAGACACTTTACTAGAGTTTAGAAAACAAAATTGCATAGGCTCTGGCTGCAGTTACTGCCTTCTCGTATATTAAATTGAAACAGTATTTGGAAATGCATCACTTCAGGAACAGTTCAACACTTGCAGTGTTAACAGTGAGCAGAGTGGTTTTCAGATGCGTATTTCGAGCCCTCTGAAACACACGGGGATGTGCCTTAGGGACGGCCTAGCTAAGCTTTGCTCATTAAAGTATTCATTAACAGCTTGACAGTGAGTGGCCTCCTGGGTCAGCTGGGCCCACTTACGATATATAAAATGTAGTCTGTTAAGTTGCTCTTCTATTTAACGTGGGAGTTTGGAGCGGGCATAGAACGGGCAGTGTTCATCCCGAGGGACGTGTCAGACACATGGTCACACGGAGCTGCAGCTCCTGTGCCAGAGCAGCCCGGGCAGGACTTGSCAGGTGACTTTGTGCTCCCTCCCTCGCCACCTTGGCGCAGTGACTGTGTTCCAGCACCTGACAAAACCAAAGGATTTAAATGATAATTGTTTCAGCTCGTTCCAGTGTATTTCCCTGTAGATGTGTTGAATATAATTTAATAGGAGAGAGGGTGCCATGGTGGTGTGTTTCTGTGAAAAAAAGCTCCCTCTAGTGTAAACTCCACTGGAATTCATCAAGCACTTTGAATGTTTGAAATGGTTTCTAATTTGAGGGGTAGGAGAAATGAGACGGAGATCAGAAGATCTTGCTGCTTGGTTTCCACATCTGCTCACCAGCTGAGATCCTGTAAGAAATGGATAGCGAATCCACTGGATATTTCCCTAGTTTTAGTAGGGCTAACTGGAGCACTAGTACCACAGTCCAAGTAAGTGATGTGTCATTTCAGACTTTCTGCCTTTAGAAGAAGTTCGTTGGGTTGGGGGTTTGTATGGGAGCATCATTTTCTGGCTCAGGCTTTTAGGTGTCCCAGGAACACTGTAGGACACAACAGCAGACCTGTTTCTTTCCCCAAGAGGCCGACGCCACTTTGGTTTCAAAGCTCAGCACCCGCCACAGCTCCCGCTCTGCTCCTGCATTTTTTGTGCTTGCCGCCGCCTGCCAACCCTCAGCTCAGCCGTGACTCTTCACTCCTCTGCCTTTCATAGAGTTTGGATATCTGTTCCCTTCTCTGCCTCTTCTGCCTTTTGTGGTGCTCGCCTTTGCTGAGCCCCGTATTACTTTTAGCACCTAATGTGTTTTGTTTGGTGGTTGTATTATTTCCACTCCAACTTCACATTCTTCTACCACAGAACTTGCTATTCTTAGCTCCAAGGAGATCGGGATAGGAGGCATCTTGAGCAGTCAGCCCTGCTTCAGGGTGTCAGGAAGCTGTTAACCTCCTTCTGCAAGGACCAGCAAGGAATGCTGCATGACATTCAGGAAGGTGAAAACATGTGACAACAGTTACATCCTGGTGACAACCCAGCAGATCTGCGCCTGTTTCGCAGATCCTGCTTTTTCCATACTAGATTTGTGCAAGGCACCAGAGATAAGCAGTGGGTAGATGAGTATATTGTAAAGGGGTTCCCAGGAGTGTACTGCCCCAGTTTGGGGGCTGCAGTGGGGCTGCAATGGCAGGTGCATGTCATGGTTCCTTTGATCCTTGCTGCGTGGCCCCTCTCGCTGGCACGCTGCTGGCGCTGGAGCAGCACAGCAGGAGCTCCGCTGTTCTGCAGTTGCAAGGGCACAGTGGGCATGACCACACGCAGAAGGAAGGCAGCACTTTGGTGTCATCACTGTGTACAGAAAGGAGCACTCATGTCTGAAACCTGAGCAGCGTCAACACTGGATCTCGCAATGCTGATTGGAGCTGTTGCAACAGTCGGAGTCATTGCCTTGGCTTTACAGCTGAGCACGGTGCTGGTGGAGGAGGATGGTGCTGCTGGGAGCCACCTTCGGTCTGTCATCAGCCTCCTTCGTGCCCGGCTCATTCCTGTGGCCTGCGAGGCTGGTGGTTCAGGCTAAGAGGTGCGTTGGTCCTGTCCCTGGGCTTGTTTTGCTGAGGCAGCTGCCAGGGTTGCCCTTTTTTGCAGATGGCTCCTCTTCTAAGAGGTGGACTGAGCCGGTCACCTTAACATGCATTATCAAACAACGGCTGATGGTAACAGCTTTTCACCGTACTGACTGAGCACTAATTTCAGTAGATCGTGTAGGTATCATAGGGTTACAGAGTACGGAGAAGGCAGTGGAAATGTTGCTAGGTTTGGTTAGGAAAAAGGTGGTTGAGTGTACGATGGTGACAGCAATCGTAAAGAGAGCTCCGCGTCAAGGAGTGCTGCAGAATAAAAACAAGAAGCCATGCAACTCCCCCCACACACTGCATTTCACATTTTGTGCAAACAAACTTAATTCTGTAAGTTAGGTAAGTTTTTCTTGGGAAGCAAACCAAGGAGAAGAAATTGAAGTGCTGACAGTTCTTGAAAGAGTTAACTTTTTCTTTTCAAGTCATAATTAAGCGTATTAAAAGCATAAATAAAATGGGTATCAATAAAGAGAAGTATAGGAAGAGTCAAAATTGAGTGATCTGAAAATTGATACACAATATGCAAAGTGGCCTCATACACAAAGTGCAAGTTAAATACATTGCTACAGATAAGGTTAATATTAGTAGAAGAATGTAAGGGCCAAATCAGGTAAGCCAAGGCCCATACAAAGTGCAACTAGGAAAGGACAAGGATAGCAAGAAACAATGCCATGTGTTGTGTAGCAGGAAGAGGAAGACCGAGTTTCTGGACTACTAATTGACCAGAAAAATCAAAACTGATGATATGAGTGTAGAGGGACAAGTAGCTGGTGACTTCTTTTTTCCCCATTCTTTGCCATTAGAGTTAACTATAATCAAGTGGCTAAGAAAATTACTACTAATAATGAAAAGGTAGGAATTGTATCTAAAACAGGAACAGAACAGATTATAAAATAACTAGATATTTTTGAACCAGCTGCAGCTTAGTAAATTATTTCTGATGTATATGATGAAATAACTGAAGCAAGTGGTGGTTACAACGGAGACCATTTGGAGGACAACCCAGGTTCAAAAGAAACCTGGGCAAATGTTGGACCTGCATGTAAATTTTCCTGGGTCCTACTTTTCCCCCATTGAAATAGATAGCTTATCTTACATTCTTGGAAAAGAATCTGGATCAAACAGTCAACTGATTCTTTTTAAATAGGTTGAAGATAGTAATGTGATAAGCAAATTGGCATGATTTTTTTTTCCAGAAAGTACCTTGTCAGATGAGCCTAACCTCCTTGTGCATGAATAGCATATTCTAATTTTTTAAAGGTTTTTCATTCTTTCATAAACAAGATGGTAATATGGGCTACAAGAAAACAGTGTGAGGTGGGTACACAGTTGACTGGAAAGCTCTTCTCGGAATAATTATTAGTGATTCATAGTCAAACTGGAAGGATATGTCAAATGGGATTGTGCCCAGGACGGCCTGAAAAATTCAGTATTTTAATTAATGACTTGGATGATAGAATCTGCATGCAGAATTTCCAGATGACACCAAGCAGGGAGAGGATGGAAGCCCTTTGAGGACATGATTATTATGCTTTATTGGAGAGCTGATCTAAAACAAATATGATGCAGTTCATTAAGAACAAGTTCTAAATTGTGGTTGGGCAGGAATAATCATCTGTGCAAATCAAAATGCAGAATAACTGGTGAGGCAGCAGGTTGGCGGAAAACAGATGGGCAATCGCAGGAGATCAGCAAAGGGTTATGAATCAACAATACTCTGCTATAAACATAATGCTGTGATGTATGGACAGGAGCCTGGATGTTAGACATGCAAAGTAATTTTGCACTCTGCTTAGCATTTCTGGGGCTCGCGTACTATTTCTGTTGCGAGCGGCACCCTTCAACCAGCTGGGAGCATCCAGAGAAGAGCAGCACTCCGGACAATGTGACYGTGGAGCACAGAGGAAATGCATTCAGCCCAGAGCAGCAATTTCCCAACTTGGGGAAAACACTCAAGACGTTTTCCCTAGTGCCCGGGAAGCGGCTGGGCTCTGGGCTGCGACGTGCCTGTTGCGCGAGGTGAGCTGCGAGGTGAGCTGTTCCCACCGCAGAGCAGGGCAGCCGAGGGCTGCAGTGCTCACCAGGACTGCCTTGCACGTTGTAAGCACAAGCCCCTCTTGCCCAGCCTGCCTCCGTGCTGAGCCAGAGCCAGGGTGACTCGTGGTGGGTAATCGGGGTCGACCAAAGTCTGATTTTTAGGGGCAGCTACGTTCTTCACCAGCGTGTGCTTTTAGTGTTGGTTTAACACAATAGCGTAACTCCAAATCAACTCTCCATCCATGGGGATTGTGCAACACAGGGACATCCTGGATGTCTGAAAGTAGCACCTAAGGGGAATACTGTGGGATGGATCACAGAATCATAGAATCACCGAATCACCGAATGTGYAAGTTTGGAAGGGATCTCTAGAGATCATTTAGTCCAACCCAAACAGGGACACCTAGAGCACATGGCACAGGCTGGATTAGGGGGATTGCAGGACTTCACAGGTTCTGTTTAGGTCCATCATGATTTTATTAGCTACAGCTGAGCATAAGCTCTGCCAGACATGAGCTGACTCTTAGGTGTTCCTGTCCAGTGCACCTCAGGTGGAGGGTTTATAAGCTGGGCGACCAGGGAATCTGCAATAAACGTGAAGATRTTGCTTTGTGCAGTGAACTTTGTGCCCTTTGTGCCCTTCTAGCACTGCCTCTATCACTTACTAATGTCTTCCTGTTGCAGGTCCATAYCTTCTTCCCTAGGCCTTTCCCTGATGAAGTTCTTCTACTCTAAATCTCACAGCAATCCCTCTTGGCCTTTTATCTCAAGATCACTGTCCCTGGAGCGCGACCTTGGGCCATACCCATAATATTGTTCCCAGAGTGGTGACCCCTCAGCTTTAGCTGTTACTCCCCCAGGTCCTACTTTCACAGAGAAACT